CCCAAACCAAGAACAATCTAAATGTCCAGCAACCAGTGAATGAATAAATAGGTGATATAGCCAGAGACTGCACTATTAATCACCAATAAAAAGGAACAAACTAGTGATACGTGTAGTAACACAGATTTCAAAAATCATTATGCTGAATGAAAAAACAGAACCAAGAGTACAAACTGTATGTTTCCAGTTACATGAAATTCTAGAAAATACAAATTCATCTATAGTGACAGAAAACACATCAGTGGTTGCCAAGATGGAGGGAGAGTTGGCAGCAAATGAGCAAGAGGAAACTTTCAAAAGGAATAGGAACGTCTTCTCTGCCAACTGTGGCGGTTTTACATGTATGTACATCTGTCAAGACTCATCAGTCCGTATATTACAAAATGATTGCAGATTACTAAATATAAATCATCCCTCAATGAACTTCATTAGAAAAAAATAGAATTCATAGTAATCAGTTCTATTTAGGATTTAAAACAACTGCCTATATTTTCTTCTAGTCAGAATTTCAGAAGTAGACTATTTCAAATAAAGACCAAAGAAACATCAAAGGCAAATAGGAAGACAACTTGCTTTTTTGAAGAAATATTTCACAAGCAGATAAATGGAGGGAAAAAAAATTATGAAACTGTAGTGCGAAGACCAGATTCTGATTCCTAGTTCCACTTAGCATACAAGTGGCTTTAAGCACATCACAACTTCTCTGAACCTGTTATTAATGATATTAATAATGACCTCCTAGGCAACAACTAAATGTCAATGGTCTAACAGGTCCTCTGGAGCAGAGATTCTGTCTTAGCCCAAAGTATCTCCCCAGTATATAGCAAATAACTGGTGCTCAATAAATCGTTACAGAATTTCTGAATTACTTTAAAACGAAAGGTGAGAAAGATACGATATATAATGCCAACAGGAAATATCTTATTGTTTCTCTGCATGAGAAAGGATAATGAATGTAAAATATTAATGCTAGCGGGGTCTTACCCCTTTGTACTCACATCACAAGCTACATCACAAGCATACCTAAGCAGGTCCCTTGGGGAACGTCTCACTAAGTCAGCCATTAAAGAGCAGATTGATTTTGGTTTTGGTTTTTTAACCCAGGGTCTCACTATATGGCCTAAGGCTGGCCTAAACTGGAGATCTTCCTGCCTCACCCATACAAGTAGGATTATATGCATGTACCATAGCAATTAGCTTAAGTTTGGTATCTTAAATGCTTAAATGTATTTCCCTAGAACTCTAGGTGGGACTACAAAAAAATAAATAAACTTTTGGTATTAACAGCTTGCATTGCTGGTTATTCAGGGATTCAAAATGGTGGTTTGGGGTGTTTTGTTTCTTTCCTTTCTCCCTCCCACCCCATGCTGGAGAACCCAAGATTAACACTTTTTTTTTTAATTGTGAAAATACTGTACAGAGGGGTTACAATTATATAGGCAAGATAATGAGTACATTTCTTATCAAGCATTGTAGCCTCCTCCTCCTTTGTTTCCCCTTCCCATCCCTTCCCATCCTTCCCCACCCCCCACCCAATCCTCCCCGCTCCCCCTGCCCTCCCCTCACCAAAGTTGTGAAGTTCATTTTCGACATAAAGACTTGTTGCAATGGGTCCACCTGTATCCCTATTTAAATGATTTGTTTTTCCCCTTCCCCTCCACAAATTATACCGACAGCAGGGGTTATACTGTGGGGGAGGGATATACAAAGCAACAAAGAAATAATCTTATAAATGTGTTAGAAACAATCATAAGAAAGAAAACAAACATTTGAGTACATATCTTAGGGTTCATTTCCCTAACATCACCTTATCTGAACTTTTCTGCTTGACTCAGACATATACTAGATATTGCAAATAAGGGAAACTATGAGACCTTTGTTTCTTTGGGCCTGGCTTACTTCACTTAATATAATTTTTTCCAAGTCTTTCCATTTCCTAACAAATGGGGCAAAGTCATTCTTTCTGATGGAGGCATAGAATTCCATTGTGTATATATACCACATTTTCTTGATCCACTCATCTACTGAGGGGCATCTGGATTGGTTCCATACCTTAGCTATAGTAAATAGTGCTGCAATAAACATAGTTGTGCTGGTAGCTTTATTGTGGTCTTGTTTGTAAACATTTGGGTAAATGCCCAAAAGTGGGATTGCTGGGTCATAGGGGAGCTCTATGTGGAGTCTTTTGAGGAACCTCCATACTACTTTCCAAAGTGGTTGAACAAGTTTACACTCCCACCAAGATTAACACTTTATTCTTCAGTATAGCTGAGCTGTCTTGTCCCCCTTGCCTCTCTCCATCTCTCACCCTCTCCCGTCCTACCACCTTCTCTTTCTCTCCTTCCCTCTTCCTTCTGTTCCCCTCCATCAAAACCCTTCCCCTTCCACTAACCCTCTCTTCCCCCTCCCACTACCAGGAAGGAGTAAAACCTATGTTAAATAAGATATATCTCACAGAGTGAAGCCAAAAACAAAACAGTGATTTGGACATAGAGTCCATCACATATCCCAAAATGTGCCCATGAGTTTCTGCTTTAAAATCAGACACTTAGCTGGACACTGGTGGCTCACGCCTATAATCTTAACTACTCAGGAGCCTGAGATCTGAGGATCATGGTTCCAAACCTTCCTGAGCAGAAAAGTCCATGAAACTCTTATCTACTCAGAAAAAGCCAGAAGTGGTGCTATGGTTCAAGTGGTAGATCCCTAGCCTTAAACACAAAGAGGCTCAGTCACAGTGCCCAGGCCCTGAGTTCAAGTCAGGGGGGGGGGAGGAGGGGGAACCAGACACTTTCAGATGACAACAGAGCTCTGAGAGATTCAACTTTCTCTATCCTCTATTTTTCACAAATAATAATAAAACATTTCCTTTTTCTCAAAACTTTGCTCTGGCTATTTGTAAACTGACATTGTAAATCTGCAATAACTAGATCACTTTTAAAACTATAAATTCTTTTTATTTATTCCAATAAGTATTATTTTATATGATCAGACTCACTGATCATATAAAAGGCATTGTGCCTTTGTGTTTCTCCCTAAAGAGTATCCTCCTCTGGTCTGTGTGTGAATGCCTAGAGTCCTGTATTAATCATGTCCTGGTGTATTTTAGATCTAGCTTGCACATATGAGAAGAAAACATGTGCTGTTTGGTAAGACTAAATTCTATGACAAGAACTGTACCTGTTTTATTTACCACTGATCTTCATTTCCAGTATTTCCCTAACACAAAGTACATACCAAACAGAACTTGCAAAAGCCTTGTAAGTAGATAACTACAGTCAAGGAGGACTTTTAACAAAGTCAAAGTGAACTGGGTGCTGATGACTCACACCAATAATTTTAGTAGCTACTTGGGAGACTGAGATTAGAAGGATCATGATTCCAAAATAAGAGGGCATACACAAGAGACCCCCACTCAATTAACAGCTGTACACAATGGTGCATGCCGGTCATCCTAGTTAAGTGAGAGGCTAAGATCAGGAAGTTCATAAGGTCCAGAACCCAGGCTGAAAAGTTGGCAAAACTCCATCTCAGAAGAAATCAAGAGAGTTAATACACACCCCTCATCCCAGCTACAAAAGGAAGCCTAAAACTAAGCAGATCAAGATCCAGGCTTACAACTGTGCAAGAAGCCATCTCAAAAATAACCACTTCAAAGAAGGTCTGGAAGCATGACTCAGAAGTAGAGTACCTGTCTAGGAAGCATAAAGCCATGGGTTATGTAGTTTAAAAAAAAACACTACAGTATTTTTACAATAAAAAAAAATACAAAAACAAAGTAGCCTAGAGCAGTAGCTCAAGCTACTCAGAAGATAAGGAGAATAGTTTCAAGACCATTCAAAACCAATCTAAACAACAACAACAACAAAAGCTATCTTTTGCAGAGCAGGACTGTTAGCTTTGCAGAAAGCATAGGAGGGTTGAAATCTAGGTATCAGAAATGGACAAAAGTAGAGAGATGTCCAATATACTCACAAATCCATAGGACCTAACTTTGGGGAAAGGAAAGCCTTCAATTTTTCTTAGCCTGAGCTCTTCATCAGTGAAACTAGACTGTTGATCCTTTCAATGTGCTATGCTAATATTATGGAATAAGGTATTATTTACTTAATGCAAGTGTCTGATACACAATAAAATAAATACTGAAAATAAATAAATCACCATGCGCAACTAGCATGGTCATCCCAAGGCAGAGAATAGAAATTGACATCCACAGTGCTGAAGTCAGACTATGTCAGCTGCCCACTGAGGCAACTAACTATTCCAAATAAATATATGTAACCACATAGATATTTCATCTAAGCAGCTCTCAGTCCTCAGAGACTGTGAATGAGAAAGCACAGCTGGAATGATAACAGAATGTCCAGTAAACTGAGGCCGTGTGGCTACAAATTGAGCCAAGAAATAGGTTAAGAAGCAAGACAAGAAAATAGGTGTTTTGATTTTAATTTCTGAGCTGCACTGTTTCCTGAGCAGCATTAATTTACAAAACTGATACACATACCACTGTCCCATGTGTCCAAGTCCCTTACAAAACAGGTCCAGTCCTCTATACAGAACAGTACTAATTTACCAAGCACACACACACACACACACAAACACACACACGCCTGTCCTGAATACTGAGGAATACTAATTTACACACACACAGAGGCCTGTCCTGCATCCTGAACAATACTAATTTACCCCATACACCACACACACACACACACACACACGCCTGTCCTGAATACTGAGGAATACTAATTTACACACACAGAGAGGCCTGTCCTGCATCCTGAACAATATTAATTTACCCCATACATCTCACACACACACACACACACACACACACACACACACCCTGTACAGGTCTCCAAGTCCCTTGCAGACCAGGACCAGGCCCTGTCAACCCTTGGCTCAACACCAGGCATTCGCCCACAAAGAAAACAAGCCCTCAGGGTTCCCTGCACCTATCTCCCAACACGGGAAGAGCCCTGGACCTCGTAAGTTCGCCACACCTTAGCTTCGCGCTCCCGTTCCTCCGCCGTCTGGGTACGCTTCATGCTGCCACCACAGAAGCCGCCTTCGCCGCCGCGAGCCGCGTTGACCTCTCGTTCTGGACCCGCCTCCTGCATGTAGTTCTCTCCGGGCCCTGTGGCCGTCCGGTACTATTCTTACTCAGAGCCGTAAGAACTACGCCTCCCAGCATGCCCTGCATGACGCACGGACACGCTGGAAGCTTGGAAGTCACTACGCTGGGGGAGCGTAGGCCGCTCAGCAGCGCGCCTCTAGCCTGGAGACCTAAGAGAACTGCATTTCCCAGAGGGCAGTGTGGCCTACCAGTTTTTCCCGTGCTCCTCTAGGCCGGCGCTCCACTCGGCGCTATAGCAACGGTAGCTAGCGGCCTGGAAAGCGAGGTGGTGAGTACTGTGGTAAAAGATGGGGGGTGGGGGTGGTGAATGGAAGTTGGCGGACCCTCCCTCCGCAGCCCGGGCTGGGTTCGTGGGTTCGCTCTGCAGCCTGGAGAAGGCCCTGGAGTTCTTGTGTGAAAAGCAGCCCAGCCATGTCCAGGCCCATCCTACAGCCCGCGCTTTGTCCTCACGCTCAGGTCTAGTTTGAAATCGTACTTACACCCCACCCGTGAACCCTCACTGAGGACAGGGACCGTCCCCGTCCCGATGCGCCACATCGAGGGGCACAAACACAGTTCACGCTATTGCCCAGGATTCGGAATTGGTTGGTACACCCTCAGCCTGTTAATGCTATAAAGGCAAGGGACTTTGTTTACCATTTTAGTCTCGGTGACTGTTTCATTCAGCGAAAGATTTTTTTTCTTGCCCACTGTGGATCAGACACTTTTCCACCCAAGACCAATACCCATCTCAAGAATGTTTATAACTTCATTGGTGCAAAGTTATAAGCTAGTTAGAAAAAAAAATGAGATTCTATCACCTAGACGCCATTGCAGTGGAGAAATGAGCTGTGGAGAAATTGGGAAGAACAACATGGAATGATCCAGGAAAGCCCAAGGAGGTGAGAGCTGAACTGAGCTTCAAAGAATGAGGAGCCAGCTATTAATGCAAAAGGCTAGGGAACATAAGACTATGGCTGGCTTGAGGAACTTGCAGAGCGTGGAACAGAGCATGCCAAGCAAGCAGGGAGAGCAAGAGCTAGTGGTGGAGAGGCATGGAGCATTGTGCAGTAACCCGCTGGTAATATTTGGGGCCAGACAATTCATTATCGTGGACTTGATGCACTGTAGGTTGCTGAACCTCATTCCTGGTATCTAACCATTAGAGGCCAGTAACATCTCCCCTTCTGAATTGGCACAGCCAGAAATACCACCTCCTAGATGAGTGACCATGGCCAAGTTACCTAATGTGCCTCAGCCTCCTCACTTGTAAGACAGGAATAACAACTCACAAGGGTATTGTGAGGTTTTTAATTCACCCATATTAGTGAATTAACTAAGTGGTGCATTCTATGGTTTCGTTTCTGATTATATGAATCTTTCCTCTTTAAGTAGAGTACTTAGGACGTTTTCTGCTTTAAGCACTGTAAGCAGTCAATAAATGTGAACATCATCATCCTCTTCATCATTATTACTGTAAAGTAAACCTGAAAGTCTGTGAGGAAAATAATCATTTTCACAGTTTATGGTTATGCTTCTTGATAGTTTTAATGTTGTCTGCATTTCCAGACCTTGATGCCCCATGGACTTCATCCACCAAAACAACTATTTAGTGAATTCCTGTTTAGTGAATTCCTGAGCTAGCCTCAAGACAAATAAGCTTGCTACTTTCTTGGTCTTCACATTCTAGGACCAACATTCTAGAACTTGGGAACCTCTTTCTATGGTATCTTCTTTGACTGTTTCCATTTAACTTTTCTAGGTGGGTTGACATGAAAAATATAGAATTTTTCCTACAATATATTAACTATTCACATATAAAATAAAGACACTGTGTTACATCTCTACAAACAGTATCTATAAGACAAAATGAAGACACTGTGTTACATCTCTATGAAGAATATTAGCTGGACAATTTACATGTTGAGGTAGTAATCCCTTGGACCTAGGCTTTGTGGCAACAGTGGCAGCTGACAAATTATGAAACTTTTCACAAAACTTAAAATGACTCACTAATCTATACCTCAGTTCAAAAGATAATGTTCAGCCTGTTGTTTGTCATCCTAAACACTTTTGCTAAATGCTTTTAATGTGCCATTTCACTCACTTTTAGAATAACTATGAAATAGGTATGCTTTACTCTATCTTAGAAATGAAAACACTGAAACTCAAAGAGGTTTGCATGACTTGACCAGCTGCTAAATGATATAATAAGCGTTTGAATCAGGTTCTTGACCTAGCTTTTTCTTTGTGGTTGGAGAGGGGTTAGAGAGGAGGTATTTCTTCAATTTGGAAGAGTTCGTTTTATTTCAGATAGAGGAATTAAAAAGAGAAAAGGACAAATGATAATCTTACCTCATTTCCTAAGCAAACTGTAGGAAATACACTGTTGAAAGAGACATGGTCTCCATGATTGAATGCAGTATTACTTTTAGAATAGAAGCTTTCATCTTCTTCTAGCAGCACATGTGGGCAATAAGATGTCCATTAAAGTTCTAGTCCCTTATTCATTTTATTTGGTTCATTCCATTGCATAGTTAATGTAATAACTTGGAAAGGGTTCGCTTGAATTTTCTTTTTTCCACAGATAGGCCATGTCTGGTCCCACTGATGAGACTGCAGGAGACCTGCCTGTGAAAGATATAGGTCTAAACCTCTTTGGAGTGGGAGGGTTACAAGGTATGGCCACCTGTTCCTAATTACAGTTATGAACTTTGATCAGTGATTTCTTTACTTTTAATTTAAAGTATTTCTGATATTCATACAAACCAAACCATTTAAGTAACTATATAGCTCTTGATTGGACTAAACAAGATGGAGACTTAAGAACACATATGGTATTTTACTGCATGCATCAATTATCAACAGCTCATAGCAAATCCAAGATCCCCCTCTGTCCTGATAAAGAATTGTTATAAATCATCTTTTTAAAATTCCACACATCAGGAAAAACTGCATAGAGTATCAAGCCTCCAAACTGAATTGCCTGGTTTAAATCACATTCACCATTAAAAACATTTCTTTTTGTTTAAATTTTATATAGGAGGAAATGCCATATTTAAAAATTTTTGCCTTTCAAGTAGAGTATCTCAAAATGGCCTGTTTATGCTAGTGATAGTGACTTTTCAATCAAATTAATACACATTAAAGGTTTTCTTTTTCCTTTTATCACTTAATTGTTGCTATAGAGCTAAAGAGCACTTTCAAATTGAGAAAGAAAAGCACTGCTTTAAAGAGCAATAGAGTACAGGGCTATGTTTATATTTGGATAAACAGTGTGCCATTCATTCCCTCATGCCACTAAATTTGCCATCAAGAGGGCTAGGGATTTAGAATATTCCACTAAGGAATCTTCACATACTTTTCAATCAGAACAATGTATTAACAGCCACATTTACCTCAGATAGGTGGTCAGTGTATTATTCATTGAAAAAGATGAATATGATTATACAGATTTTATTATTAAAAGTAAAAAATACATAAGCTTTGTTATAAAAAGGGAGTGTCAGGTATATGGATAAACTTTAAATATGCAAAGCATTTATTTTGTTTTGTTACTTTGTAAATTCAATTATTGTCCTCAGCTAACAACTATAAGATTTTTTTTACGTATGCCAGTATCAGAACTGGAACACAGAACCTTGTGCTCACTCTACATGCTTGCTCATGGCTGATTTTCTACCACTTAAGCCACAATTCCAACCAGTAATTTTTGCTGGTTAATTGGAGATGGAGTGTTTCTGACTGTTGTGCCCCACTGGCTTTGATCCTCAGTCTTCGCAATCTTAGCCTCTCAAATAGCTAGATTACAGATATGAGTCACCAGCACCTAGGAACCACAGGGTTTTAATTTATGAGTTTGTTATTTGTTTCTACTGAAGAATGTTTATAATTGACATACTGCACAGGTATATGGAAAGAACAAAAGTAATCATCTATTTTAAAATATATGGACACGCTAAAAGGGTATAAAACTTTTTTTTTTTTTGGTCGGTCATGGGGGCTGAACTCTGGGCCTGGGCACTGTCCCCCAGCTCTTTGTATCAAGGTCAGCGCCCTACCACTTGAGCCATAGCGCCACTTCCGCCTTTTTTCTGCTTATGTGGTGCTGAGCAGTTGAACCCAGGGCCTCATGCATGCGAGGCAAGCACTCTACCACTGTGCCAACTTTTTAAAATATGAAATAGCATACATAGAAATGAGTTGTAAAGTTGTAAAGATTTCAAATTACAGTGTTTTAATTTTAGAGGGGGTGTTTGTTTGATCTTGTAATTTTTATAGTTTTCTATAACCTAACACTCATATCTATCTTAATTATATTGTGTCACAGAATTATACTAATACTTGTTTTGGGGAAGGAAGGGAGAAAGGGGGAGAGAGGGAAAGAGGATAAAGGGTGGGAGGAGAGGAAAGAAGGAGATAGAAAATGCGTTCAGGTACTATGACTTTTTCCTGGAGTGCTTGCAAGTGAATGCAAAACATTGTACATGTTAGACAAGCACTCTATCACCAAGTTACATCCCCAGGCAGAGTCTGACTTTTGACTTTTAATTTTTATTTTTCAGAATACAAATTAAGAAGTCTATTTAATCAGGGCTTCAGTTTATAATTTGAAAATGTAATGATTTGAATACATGTTAAAGAATACTGTTATTATTTAGATCTCTAATTCTGTATATAAAACATCACTAAGGCTTTATTCTCAACTCAAGTTGTTGTTGTGAACAATGCTCCAACATTTTCTAAAGAAATCACAAAGGAAATAAATCACAAAAGAAAAAAATCTGAGTATATGGGAGATTATTTTAGGATCAGCAGTTAGCGCTTTGAGAGGCTATTTTAAGTAATCTTATAATTAATTACTTTGTATTTCTTTCAGAAACTGCAGCAGCCCGAACGATGAAGTCCCGCCAAGCAGTGTCACGTGTCAGTCGTGAGGAACTGGAAGACAGATTTTTACGTTTGTG